CTTGAGCCTTGATCGGCTCCTTGCCCTTCGAATTTCCTTTCTTTATATTGGCCACTAGACCAGAAGATTCCTCCATGGTGTCCATCTTCCTGATGAGTTCATTATTTTGAAGCACCGAGATGACATCGTCCAACTCCAAAGTCTCCTTCCCATACATGATGGTAGTCGCCAAGTGATTATAACTGGGTGGAAGCGAACACAACAACAGAAGAGTTTGGTCTTCTTCTTCTAGCATCACCTCAAAGAGCCAACAAATCATCAATAATCCTATTGAAGATGTTCAAGTGTTGCAAAATAGGCGTACCTTTCTTCATCCAAAGTTCATAAAATTGCTTCTTCTTGAAGGGTTTATTTGACAAACTCTTCGTCATATACAAACTTTCCAACTTACACCACATAGCCGCAGTCGTGCTCTCGTTCATAACGTTGTAGAGCACCTCATTTGACAAGCACAGGATAATCGTAGCCTTTGCGCGGACATTCATGTCTTTCCACTCATCTTCATCCAAAGTGGATGACTTCTTCTCAAAACCGTCTAGGGATCTGTGGGCCTCTTCCTTCACGAGTAAGGTCGTGACACACATCTTCCACAAAAGAACATTCTACTTGCCGTCAAATTTCTCCACCTCGAACTTGGTCGCTGTTGTCTTGGTCGCCATAGTAGTTCTGATACTAATTGTTGGAATATTCAAGCCACGGAAGATAAAACTTAAACAATCAAGAAACCCCAAATCTACCAAGTAATCAAGACGAACAGCAAACGACAAGATTTAACGTGGTTCCACGCGATCAAGATGATCCATGTAAATTCATGGGGAGAAAGGGGAAGATCTTATTTCTTTTGAGAAGAGATTATAAAATGTTGAAACTACACACCCCTAACAATGATGGAATATAGATTCTCTTTTTTCTTGTTGTTAAACACATGGATTGATACAATATATATAGAGATTGATTTTGCTCAATCTTATTAGAACTCTAACTTGAATCCTAATTGGATTTCCCAATTCAATTAATTCCTTCAGTTCAAACCTAATTAGGATAGTATAACTAATCCTAATTAGAGTCCAAACCCAATCCTACTTATCAACTGATTTGAGTCATCATGAACTCAACACTTTCAACCTGAACAAAGCAGCCGTTCTCTCTCAGACACGACAAAAGATCAAGATGACATCACATTTCTACATTGAATCAAGGACCCCATGTTGCCTATAACAGAGTAATTATTCAAATGCACATCGAGGAGGCTCAAAAAAAAAAAAAAGCAGAATAGCTCACCTGAATATAGAGCTTCTTTCAAGCGCATCTTGTGGCTTCCCCGTTGGTAAACCCCACCTCAAAAGAATACCCGTATTCCACCAAACATTTACAACTAAATTGAGTTATTTTTCTTGGTCACCTGGAACTCATCAACTATATAATAAAAAGGCTCAAAAAAAAAAAAAAAAAGCAGAATAGCTCACCTGAATATAGAGCTTCTTTCAAGCGCATCTTGTGGCTTCCCCGTTGGTAAACCCCACCTCAAAAGAATACCCGTATTCCACCAAACATTTACAACTAAATTGAGTTATTTTTCTTGGTCACCTGGAACTCATCAACTATATAATAAATCACTATTTCGTAGATGTTTCTGAAATGTAAAAATATGAGTTTTTATTCAAACGAATTTCTAGGTCAATTCAGGGAACGTTATTATGCCTTAATTTCTAAGGTTTAAAATTCTATCTAAAAAATAAAAATAAAAACCTAAATTCCATAAATAAATAAATAAAGTCTAAATTCCATAACTTATCCTAAAAAATAATCTGAAAATCTTACATCAAAATTAGTTTGGCTATTATACGCCATTGAGGAGGTGGTCATCGTGGACTTCCACCATTGATTTGAGGAAACTGCTGGAATAGTAATAATAATTTGCCCTTGAACATCCAATACAAATTATGTAATAATATTGTAATGTTAATAAATTTAATTGTTGTACATAATTTGGTTATTATTTATATAATTGTTATATATATCCTTAGAGAAGTTATTTTGTTAGAGCATGCACTGTGATGGCCACTTGCTTGGAGATATGATCTAACTTAGAAATTTCTTAAATTTGTGCTTAACCTATAACTAGTAAAGGATAACTTTGTTATAACAGGTTATTATGCATGACACCGATATATGAGATATGGTGGTGGGTCTCAACCATCGAGAATGGAGATTCTCCGGGTGTATGTCATAAGCACGCATTATGATGTGTGTAGCACTAGACCGTATTTGAATTCTCTAGGATGAGTCACCTAAGAGATAGAGAGTTCAAATTGTTACATGGTCCCTTTGACTTGATGATATTGTCATTTTCGATTTGATAATTTAGTATGCTTTGATGTGATGGTTAAGCTTGTTTAGCAAGCGCTACACAACCTGAAACATTGGGTTGCTAAATTTCATTTAGGAAAATGATGGATGTCTAGATAGAATCCAGTATGCTCATTATGATGAGTTAATTTATTATTATGCATTCCCCATGAAGCTATTAAATTCCTGCCGGCAGGTGTTTTTGAAAATATTTTTAAAAATTTATTTTCTTATAAAAAAAAATATTTTGATGTTTCAAAATAATTTTTATTTATGTTCATGTGAATTGTAAATTTAGGCATGAGCAAATAGATGGGTTGTCCTGCTTAAAAGAGTTGCCTAAAATAAATGATACTGGAAGGGAGTGAATGTAAGATATTATTTATTAATAATTAATCTCATATTATGGAAGATCTTTTATGAACAATTGGTCGGATAGGGATTTGATTGTTAAATTAAAATTATTAATTTGATTAATAATTGGTTCTTGATATGGGACCCAATTGGTTTCACTAATGTCATTAGAAGAGGTATACATGCAATACAATTCTATTTCTATCCTTAATTGTTATGGATAAAGTTTTTGAACAAATCTATTCTATCCTTAATTGTTATGGATAGAGTTCTAGATAATTATGAATTGTTTAAAGTTAAAATCTCTAAGACTAGTGTAATCCTATAAATAGGGTTCATATGTAGCCTTATGAAAAAAAAAGAGAAGAGATTCAAAATCTTATGAAGATAATATGAAGAAATAGATTTTTGAGAACCTATCTCTCAGTATTGCTCCTCTACGGTGACGGGTGGATTTCAATTGGAGGCTTTTTCTCTTGAGGAAGCTATTTTGGATTGATCTCGGGACAGATTATTGTAGAAATTCGGAAAGCGTTTCAGGTATTCTTCTAATATTTAATTAATTTTGATTAATAGTCATGATATGTTTTTTCCGCTGCGTTGTATGTCATGATTCAAACAGAAACTTGCCAGCCCTCATGGCTCTTGTTCACAAGCCCGAGATTCAAGTGCAAATCTGAATAGATCCCCGCTAGAACAAATTTTCAAAACAGCCCCATTTAGAGTTTTATTTTTCAAAATCGACCGGTTTTTTATTTATTTATCAAAACCGACCCGATTTTGTGATTAACCGGTTAATCACCTTCCTAAATAGTCGGGGTTGGCAACCCCGACTATTTAGGACCTTAATTTTTAGTGTTTAAAGCATCTAATCAGGGTTTAATACCCTTCTAAATAGTTGGGGTTGCCAACCCCGACTATTTAGGATGGTGATTAGGCTGTTAATCACAAAATCGGGTCGGTTTTGGTAAAAAAAAAATCGGTCGATTTTGAAAAATAAAACTCTAAAGGGATCTGTTTTGAAAAATTGTTCATCCCAGCTATGTAACATCGCAGATCTCCAGTCCTCTTAACTATTATTCAGAAAAGACGGTTACAAAATTCATAGAAGAGGTTGGATGGCGACGCGTATTTTTGTAGGGGCATTAGAGCAAACAAAGAATGAAAGGCTGTTAATATGTACTAAGCTCACATGATTGTGAGACCAGTTTATGTGAAATCTTCTGCTCATATCTCTTTTGTTATGGCTAGGATGCTTTTGCGATTAATTGTATTTTGTCACCCTGTTTCCTTTTGTGACCGGTAGGCAATTTAGTATCCGTCGGTAGTAAACCCGTTGAGGACGATCTCGATGGTTTGGAGGTTTCAATATGGTTCTCACGATCTTGGTTTCGATTCCGAGTTTGATTATCGAAAACTAAAAAATTATCAACTGGTAGTATGAAAGTGTCATTTACGGTGATAGGTCTGATTCTCTAAAGAAAGTTGAGAATTCCATAATACGGAGATAATGTCAAATCCATCTGAAGATATTGGTCGCAAGTAGAATCAGCTTGAGCTTGATCCTAGCCAAAAAAGAACAAGCAACTGTGCCTACTTGTAAAGACATCGTAACGGCTTCTGCCATCTCCGTGTTCCTTCTTAACTAATACTCGGCTTCTTTCCCTTACATTGCTAAAATAAGAAAGATCCAGGACTTTCATGGTATGTACGGTGCATGAGATACAAAATTACTATTTTGTCCGTCATCTCCTAGAGTCTCTGCGGACAGCCTAGAGCTTGTGTATAGGGTTTGCCCCCAAAGCTAAAAACAGAAGCAAAATTCTGTGCACGCACATGATCAATTGAATTACATGTGTCAAGAGTGCCAACATATCGGTTCTGTTTGGCAAAACTAGCTGAAAGTTGCGAGATTATAACTGAAAGCTGTTAAGCTAGCTAAAAGCTGTGAAATTGTAGCTGAAAGCTGTTAGCTGTGTAGCTAGCTGATTGACTAGAGCTGTTTGGCAAAAGTAGCTGTACAACTAGCTTAAGTTTGTTAAATGACTAAAAAAACATGCAATATTACTGATATAAAATTAGAATTATTAGGGGCAAAAATGGAAGATAAAAATTGGCAACTCCTTCCCAAAGACAAACGCTACTTGAGGTAGCTTTTCAAAAGCTACTTGCAAAAAACACAATCTCTAAAATAATCTCCTCTTATTTTTGGTCACCAAACAGCTCTACTAACTTATTTGACCAAGTCAATAAGACACAAGCTCTTAGATAAGACACTTTTTTTGGTTGCCAAACAGTGAGATCACAGACATCTATTAGAGTTGGATCGAGCAGAAGTGGCTACCTCTATTACAATGACTACAAAGGCAAAATCAAATAACTTCTCGCACCTCCTCCACCGCCCATGGCTTTATCAAAAAGGGAAATCAAAATGTACACCATCCAAAATAAAGTTATCTGTTTTCAGTTGTTATCATTATCCTTCACAAAAATAAAGTCTCCAGCCACCAGAGCTGGACGTCAACAGAATGGCTTCACATACATTATCCAAACCACCACTCTGACCTACCTAGACATCAAGCGGGAAAAAAAAAGGAACTAAATTTTGCGGGAAAAAGAGTTCCGTGACATGAACACGATGCCAGCTGTTTTTTTAGGAGGCTCTGGTGTCCCGTGTTCTCAATATGCTTAGAAGTTGAAGTGGCAACTGATCTCCTAGCGAACAACAAAATAAGAATAAAACAGCTTTTAAACTGCTTCAGGACCGCTAGGTAGTGGCTGATAACCATTCTGATCAGGTGCCGGACCTGTCGGTAGATGAAAAGATCCAACGGGGATGCATTTCAAGATAACGGATACGATCATGCTTATTGATCCAATAGCAATGCAAAGTAACCACAATTGCCAGCTAAGAGGTACCGTGCTTGCAAAAGCGCCAAGGAATTCCACTATTATTGCTTGGAATATGACGGTTGAAACCAAGACAGCAGCAAAGATCCAGCTGCCAAATATCCCTCGGAACACATTGATTTTCTCCATCTCCCGACTGTTTATTTCATTGAAGACCTGAAGGACAATTATGAGCATAATAATCAAATCAGCTTCGAAAAACAAATTATCATACGTAAGGTTATCAGATATGCTGGTTGTACTTATTGCAACACACAACTAACATATATCCAGGAAGATATATTTCATGATCTAGGCATGCTTAGCCATGGAAGTTTGAGGATGAGGTAACTCGTACAGTGAAGAGGAAATATTTGCCTGAAACTGGAAGCTGCAAAGTGATTGGTGCAAGAAGTACTAAACCAAGATTTACTCTCAAACAGAATTATTCATTTTCATACGTTTGCTAGTTAATCAAGAAATACCAAGCCTTGGGAATTATCTCTTCTTAGTTCTGTAATTTCAAACAATTTTAAAGATTTTAAGCCAGCAATGCAACAATTTAATAATCCCCATCCAGAACTCCCGATACCTATACAAATACCAAAAAATGGACACCAAGGTTAATACTGACGTTAAGCCTATGTATACTGTAATGATTTTTTTCTTATTAGTAAAAATCTATCCAAATCCTTTGTCATGTTATGGGTAGCAAAACTAAAACACAACACTGTATGTATATGCAGTATGCCTATACTTTCTATACTTTTTTAACCTCTTATTGACCAAAAATTCTATAATTAGGTATTAGCTGTAAATCAAGGAATTGGGAATGCAGCAAATACTGAAGATTGGTTCCAGGTTAATAAGCATAAGATGACCACTATTGATAAGGAAAACCAGAACATGAAAGAAAAATCCCTATCAACTCCTCTCTTTTTTTTAATGGTACATGATGTATAGTGAAGAGTTAAAACAAGGCTAGTAACACAACATCAGAAACATGAACTTATTGCAAATATACTGCATCTTGCACCATATAGTCCAGTTCTTAAGCATATTCTCGAAAAATTAAACAGATATATCTGAATTAGTTGGCATCAGTTAAGCACTTGTTGCAGGTCACATGTCAAACACAACAGCAGATCCCACTAAAATTAGTGTCATTTGCACAGAACATGTTCTTCCATTCAGTTTTCTGCTACCTTAAATGATCCTCGATGATATCATGTTTAGCAAGTTCTAGTTATAAATTCAGTATGCAAAGTTCCATTTAGTAATACAAAAGAAATAAGGTTAAACTTTAAAAAATAAATTCATCATTGAAAATGGATTAAATGAAGCTTTCAAACTGTCATTGTAACATACATTTACCAAGCAGGCTATGTCAATTACCAAAATTAGTTTTGTACTAAGATGCCAAGTTATATCACATTAAGCTCATAACTGAAGTAAAGATGTCAGCAAATAATTGTTAGGAATGTTTTTTAGTTGTTTTGATATTCTCAATGAAATAAATGCATACCTGACAGAAAACAAATGTGTTGAATAAGAACGTATTGTTTACAGCATCAGCATCTGGACCGCTAAGTTTCAGAAGGCGTTTCCCATCAAACATGAGAACTCCAAGTACAGCTAACTGATATACACTCTGCCCAATGATATTTCTCCACATGGACTTTGTGATAAAATTCTCTCCTCGCCCTACTGGTGGTCTTTTCATCATCTCATCATTTGGAGGCTCTGTTGCTAAGGCCAAGGCACCAAGTGTATCCATAATCATATTGACCCAGAGTAGCTGCACAGCAGTAAGAGGGGCAGTTCCTGAAAGGTCCAAATGTTGATAAGTATAATGATGATTTGCAAGATATAACGGCTGATAAATATTATACAATATAGGTACAAGTTCAATCCTTTAATGATATACCTGTGATGCATGCTGAAACAAAATTGACCATTAAAGCAACAATATTGACAGTCAACTGGAACTGAACAAACTTTTGGATGTTGATGTAAACGGCACGACCCCATTTGGCTACATTGATAATGGTTGTGAAGTTATCATCCAATACAATGACATCAGCATTCTCTTTTGCAACCTGAAAACAAAATATACAGATGAAGTTAAAATAAACAAGGTAATAGCTGGCCGGAATTGATGTTTTGACATCTGCTGCAGCTAAACATAGATAAAACGAATCCAGTGTTGATCTGTTACTCAATAGACCATGTGTGCTGTATAATCTAATCCTTACTAAAAGAAAATTACAGTGGAAAGAGATCGAAGAAAATTATAAAATGTTGAGTAGGCAATACCTCAGTGCCTGCAATACCCATTGCAAGGCCAATATCCGCTTCATGCAAAGCAGGAGCATCGTTAGTTCCATCACCAGTAACAGCGACAACTTGGTTAAACATATTCCTCAAGTTAGTCACAAGGGTATGTTTATCCAAAGGCAATGATCGGGCCATAACCTATACAATTTCACATGTAAGCAGAAATTTTATCCTGAAAAATAAATTGTAAGGTCCATGAGATATGAAAGAACCTGAAGTTTCGGTATTATTTCCCTCATCTCCTCTGGGCTTTTGCTTCGAAAATCTGGTCCTTCTATCGCTAAACCGTCATCTGTCAATATGCCGCACTCCCTTGCTATAGCTTTAGCCGTGTTAATATTGTCTCCTGTCACCATCCTGACTTTAATACCTGCAGCAAGACAAGCCTCCACCGCATCCTTGACACCGGGCCGTACTGGATCTTTGATACCAAAAACAGCAATCAGTGTGTAACCATCGGCTGGAATTTCATCTTCACTGTATTCATTATCCATCTCCTTAACTGCCAAGCAAAGGGTTCTTAAAGCTTCACAGGCAAATCCATTAATGACATCCAGGATATCTTTTGACTGTTCTTCAGATAAAGGTACAGCATTTCCATTACCATCAAAAACCTTGTCGCACATCTGCAAGACAATTTCAGAAGCACCTTTGCAGAAAGCTCTGACTCCTCCAAAAGGCAATGACACAAGTACAGACATCTTCTTTTTGACTGAATTGAATGGTTCCACCTTCAACTTTGTACTATCCTGATGCTGAGTACCAACAACTCCTTCCAAATCCAAGCCAAACTCTAATAGTGCTGTTTCTGTAGGGGTACCCAAAATAGTAGGCTTACCATCTTTTCCTCTCACCACCTCAGAACCAGAGTTTTGAAATATGCACTGCAATAGGGTGCTTAGAACTTCTTCCGACACTGTGGCCTTTAGATCATTAGCAGTCTCTTTTGCCTTGAAAGATTTGGACTCGTTGCAGATCCATACCTTATCAACTACCATGTGGTTAGTTGTCAGAGTCCCCGTTTTATCTGTACAAATGCATTCAGAAGATCCCATAGTTTCGCAAGCAGATAGATGCCTTACAAGGGCTTTGTCATCCATTAGCTTCTTCATTGCAAATGCAAGACTCAATGTCACAGCAAGAGGTAGACCTTCAGGAACTGCAACGACAATTATAGTAACTGAAATTGCAAAATAATCCAATATAGTCAATGCATCATCTGAATACCAGTTCAGCAAGCCGACATGCGTTGCTTTGTCAACTAAGAACCTCACTAACAGGACAAGAAACGTTAATGAAGCAAAAGCTAAACCAATCTTTCCGATAATAGTTGCAACACCATTTAGCTTAACCTGCAATGGTGTTTCATCCTCTCCTCCTTGACTAAGAGTCTCCATTAACCTTCCCCATTCAGTCCTCATACCTACAGCAGTTACTATCATTTTAGCAGATCCATCCTGAACCTTGGTCCCAGCCAGAAGAAAAGGTTTATCTTGAGAAATATATACTGGTTCACTTTCTCCAGATAAGCTCGATTCATCTATTAAAAGGGAGTATCCAGATAGGTATAGCCCATCAGCTGGCACCTTATCTCCTATTGAAAGATGAACTATGTCTCCAACGACCAAGTCATATATAGAGACTTTCTGTCTATAGCCATCCCTAGTTACTTGAATGAAAATCTTCTTCTTTTCTTTATCTAAGTCCTTAAATTGCAAAGATTGCTTGTAGTCACTGACTGCCGTGACAATGACTACCAAGAAGATACTGAGTAGAATACCCACCCCATCATACATACCCTTAGGCCATCCTTCAGTGCCAAGCCCAACCCCTATAGAAATGACAGCACATACCATAAGAATAATTAAAGTCAAGTCTTGAAAAGCATCCCAGACAAACATCCAAAAACTTCTCGATGGCTTCTCAACATATCGATTGGGTCCATAGATTTCCTGTCTGAGTGAAAGATCACTAGAATTGACACCGTCATCCGGTGATACAGATACTTTTCTAGATATCTCGTCAACTCCTCCATGAACCTTCAAGCTCTTGATATCATGACCACGTGCAATGGACGCCAATTCATCAGGACTAAGAGAAAACCCAGCTGCTTTTGCTGCTTCTGGTATCTGGTATTCAATTTTCTTAAAAGCTGCATTGGAAAAACAATAACAATAATAAAGACCATGAAGGCTAAGAGTACAATAAAGTGACGAGTCTGTGGCTAATAGTAGAACTGGCACCGTCGATGAATGTCAGGGCTGCCTTTTGCACGTAGAGGGCAACCCGAATTTTTTCCTGGATGAAACCAAATAAACATGAAAGGTAAGTAGATTAGATATCTGTCCTCAAGCAAATAAAATCTGTCAAAAGTAGACCTAATAATAGACTACAGGTTTCGAGAAATAGCATAACATAATTGTAGAAAGAACAATCCTATGCACGTTATAGATCCAAAGCATCTCTCAGAGACCGGCTTACAGAATAATATGAATATACATACAAGGTTGTTTGCCATGAGAGAGGTTCTACAATAACAGAAGAAAATATATTTCAGTTTTAGGTATTTAACTTGCACAACTTTTCCAAATTCCTTAGAAAGATGACAAACAATGGCGTCACGTCCATCTTCCATTCAGCACTGTTTCATTGTAAACATCAAGTGATTTCAGAATCAGACATACAGAAACCTGTGACATCACATATTCCAGCAGAAGCAGCAGGTTGTTGCTACTAGTCTCAAGATGATTCCACATGAAAAAAGCAGATTGACCTCTATCAGAGTAGGCCCAGATCATGCAGATTTTTAAAAATACCTCCAATAATAACGGCTTTTGATTTTATGGCAAAAATGTACAACTAAAGCCTAGTTAGTCCCCATAAGAAGAGTTTTCCAAGCCATATTGTGTGTTCATCAATTAATGATCTTGAAACCACATCCTTTTTCATTGAAGAACAGTTTGAAGCAAGGAGAGCATGCCCAACACCGTCGATCATACACTCACAAAGAACATGCATCTTCTTTGGCTACACTGAAGATATAGCCCCCTGCCTCCCTGCCTCCCTCACTCAGGAGGGACCATGAGTTTACTTTCCTCCAACGTGTGTTCACATCCGATTTATAGCATTTAACATAGCATTGAGTAATGAAAACGTCACTAATAGACGAACTTCTAACTTTGAAATCCAATGAAAGTTTAAACCGTCTTATATAGTGACGCGTTATCATGACCACATCAAACATTTAAACCATTGAGATGCATAAATTTCCTATGCACAGGAGACACTTTTTACTGTATAAGAAGTAAAGATGTCCAAACAGAGCAGATATTAATATCAGCCATATGCAGGCTTGTAAGTTGTAAATTCAATTATATGTAAAGCTTATGCTTCCAATACTTTAGATCCTCCTCTTTTATCCAAGGAATACTCGTGTTTGCCGTTTTGGACGTCTCAATGGATAGAGAAGTTTGCACGTCACTTATATCCAAGGAATACTATGTTTCAGTTTAGGAGAATCTTTGAGGTTATCTCCATCTACTAAAACTGTGTGACGACTGAACTAGGCATCCTATAAAGTTTAAGGGTTACAGTACTTTGCTATGTGAATGATTCTTTTATCTCATTATCATGAACAAGATGATTTAAGAACACGTTCCCTATGTCAGCACAACTGGTCAAATCATGGATTTTTTCAGTCTAAAAGTAGATCGAATCTGTTTGGCAGAGAACAATGTGAAAAGCTTGTGAAGAAAGAATCCAAAGTGTCTCTCAGAAGAATTTAAGTATTTTCAAAAAGATCAAGGTAGGAAAGCATGAAGCAGCCCAAGTCAAGGAATACCAACCCTAGCTAAGTCGATGTAAGATGACGTTGAATAACTATTATTGTGTTTTCATATTACTTTTCTTGAGGTTCCACTTTCCTTGTACGTGAGAAAGTAGTTAGAGGTGGGCTAGGGTCGTGGACAAGTTCTTTGCAGGCCTGTTTGGCTGTTATTCTAGAATCAAAGAAAAGGAAATAGGGGACCAAAATCATCGAAACTTTTGACTTTCATCTATTTCCTAATGGCTTGTTTGGATTGAGGGGAATAAGGGAGAAGGAAAGTTAGGGGAACCATTCACCTTGTTTGGGAACACTTAGAAGGTGAAGTTATTCACCCTAGTTCACCCTTCAAATTGGGGTGTAACCAAGGGGAAGGGAACTCCCTTCCCTTCCCTTCTCTTCTCTTCTCTCACATAGCTTTCCTTAACCCCGTTGAAATCCAAACACGGCCAAAATGAAATGAGTTTTCTTAAACATGAGGCACATCATCCCCTAACATGGTGCAACTCAATTCATCCCATCTCTTTTCTTAAATTTAAAAACTAAATTAAATAAAAAAAATATTATTATAGAAAATATATTTCCTATAATAAATTTCCGACTTTTTTTTAGCAGACCAAGCAGTAGAAGTTGACCCTGACGAGTGAACAATAAGGAAAAGGACGGAAGCTGACCCATAAATGAGTACAGAAAACAAAGGCAAATGGGTCCAAACGGTGGCAGCCAATTGGTTGGGTAGGAGTAATTGAAAGTAGACTTCTCTTTTTTTTTTGGCTTTTTTTTTTCGTATTTCAAATGAAGTTTCTAGGAAACTTCCCGTGTATATATCATGTTCAGCCAGAAAACAACATACAAAATACAAAAACCAGCACAGTAACTTGAACCAAAAAATTAAATTAATTAATTAATTGGGTCATAGAAAGGAAGCGCAACAAATTCAAGTGGCAAAACAACGTGCAAAGGGGATAAATTAAAAGCAACTTGAACCCAAAAAAATTAAATTAACATAAAAATTAATAAATTGGGTCATAAAAAGCAAGCACAACAAATTACCTATACAACTATTTACAGAGCTTGAACCAAAAAAAATTAAATTAACATAAATTAATTAATTAATTGGGTCACAAAAAGCATGCACAACAAATTCAAGTGGCAAACAACGTAAACTTTCTTAAAAAAATTAAATTATATATATTTTTCTTAAAAAAATATAGCTTTTTTACGGTGCTAATAAAAAAGCTATCTTAAAAAATATATAAATAATATATTTATTGATCTCTACTCAATTTATTGGTCCTACGCTCTTTAGCATTCTTATCAGTTCCAGCGTAACCAATGGCGTCAATGAAACGTAAGCATTAGTTGGAAGTTGAATTATGAAAATGTTCACATTCAAAGATCTAATTCAGAGTAAAATACTAAATATACAATTAAAAAAAATAAAAGAAATCAAATCTAATTCAGAATAAAACATTAAATATACAATTTAAAAAAAAATCAAATTTTCTAGCCACTAAGCACGTGGCCTGTTGCTCCCGTGATCCCCGCTAATTTTAACGGAATCTGATCACCAGTCGGTAACCGTACCGGACGGTGAGCAGACCGTTACAGATACTGACCCAGTTCTACCGCGAAAAGATCTAGGATAGACGATCGGGGGCGAAACAGCCAACGAAAAGCTAAATAAAGGTTTTTTTTAAAAAAACTGTAGAAGTTAGAATAAAACCTGGATTTTTTTCCTCTTGGCTTCGGCCTCGGATCTCTTATCGAGATCGGGAACCATCCGAAACCTCCTCGTCGGATTCTTGACGATTTTGCCGACGGCGTTCCTCCATCGACGCTGAGCTTCCTCCGATGGATTTTTCGGCGGCAAATCGAAGTTCTTCTTCAAGAAACTCTCCATCTCTTCGACGGAGCCTGCTGCTGCTGCTAATTTTCTCTGCGGTCGTTATAAATGCTACGCCTACGCGTAACGCTAGGGCTTTTATATATATTATAGTAGGGATGTGTATTGTTTTTGCTCGATGATTTGTTTAATTGGTGATGGCGATATTTGCTGAATCTTTCTAAGCGTTCCTCATTCGGCCACAAATATAAAAAAATTGGAGGAAATTAAGAGGTATATATAAATAGAAATTCTTTCCCTCAAATTCCATCTTGGTCAAATCAAAAAGTTAAATCCCACCGAGTTGGTGACTGGATGGAGCGGACCCCAGACCTGTTGACCCTCCCGATGGCCAATGGGAACCAAAGAGTCCGATTTAAAAGTGGGGTACTCCGTGTGAAGCACGGGAGAAAATGAATAGGGGGATAAGGACAAATTTTTGAAAACAACATTTTTTTTTCGAAATTAATGAGCAAAATAGACCTTTTTCATCTTAACTCAGATGAAAAGGATCGATTTTGTTACGCATAATTTTTCAAACTACACGAGACTACTAGTCTCATGTAGTTAAAGCATGCTAATCTAGGAGTAGCATGTCAAACCAAATAGACGGGACTAGTAGTCCCGTCCATTTTATGTCAAAAGACCAAACTCATCATTCTCTCTCTCTCTCTCTCTCTCTCTCTCTCTCAGATCTATAGGCGAAGCAGGAAGATGACGAGCCCTGGGGCGGCGGGGCGTAGCCAGGGCAGTCTTGCCCTGGGCAGCTGCCCAGGGCAAGAAACTGCCCCACTTCACCTCCCCCTCCCGCCTCCCCTCGCTTCCCTTCTTCTCCGGCCACTTCACCTCCCTCTATCGCAGATCCAACCTCCTCTCCCTCCTCTTCCAAGACCTCCATCTCAACAATTCCCAACCCTCCCCCCTCTCCCGCGCCTCCCTCCTCTCCCTCATCGAGCTCCTCTCCCTCCTCCGTCGCTTCAAGTCCCTCACCGCCGACCACCTTTATTTTTCGCCCCGGGCAAAAAATATTTCTGGCTACGCCACTGGCGGCGTCAACGCCTGGGCCCTGGAGGCCGAGGAACGCAAGCTCGCCACCCCGCTCCTCCCGATCTCTTCCCGCCCCTAAAGGAAGGCTACAATTTGAGGACTTTCACGTAGAAGGTTACAATCTGACGACCTTCACAACAACTAATGAAAGCCCCAATTCAACAGCCTTCACAATCAACATCGGGAGTTACAATCTGACGACTCTCATATTTTCAAGGAGCCAAGACGAAGATTACAAGAGGACGATCTGTGCAAAGCTCTAGCAAAAGAGACTACAAATTGACGGTCTCTTCATATTAGAATGCAGATATCTCTCAAACCGTAAGGAATTTGGCAAAACGGAGGAAGCGAACCGAAGCCTTCGGCTAGGTTCGGATGGCCCCGTCTCGTCGAGATAGCCGATTTTCATATATAATTCGTCTAATTCCGACTTACGGTTTGAAAGTTATGACCTGTTCTTCGTAGCAAGTTATGTTCTGAAGTCCGTCTGCAAGACTGGACTTCGTCAGAACATTGGACTTAGCCTGAAGCTCGCCAAGCCCGCCTAAGGTTCGCCTCTGCATTACAGAGTCAAAGCGCACATGCTCAACTCTGCGTTTTCAATATCAAAACGCAGAGTTAATCGCTAAAATAGCACAACTGTGCGTTTTCAGCCGTTAACAGGCTCAACTCTGCGTTTTCAACATCTAAACGCAGAGTTAATCTCTAAAACAGCACAACTGTGCGTTTTCAGCCTTTAAACAGGCTCAACTCTGCGTTTTCAGTCTAGAAACGCAGAGTTAATCTCTAAAACAGCACCAACTGTGCGTTTTCAGCCTTTAAACAGGCCAAACTCTGCGTTTTCAGCCTAAAACGCAGAGTTAATCTCCAAAACAGCACGAACTGTGCGTTTTCAACCTTTAAACAGGCCAACTCTGCGTTTTCAGCCTAAAACGCAGAGTTCATCTCTAAAACAGCACAATTGTGCGTTTTCAGCCTTTAAACAGGCCCAACTGTGCGTTTTCAGGCCTAACTCTGCGTTTCAGGTCCAGAAACGCACAGTTCGGGCTCAGAACGTTGTTTTCAGCGTTTTGACTCGTTCAAAGCACTAACAGAACGGTTTCAAAACCGTTTTCCCCACGATTTAGGGAGCTGTTTAAGAGGGGGACGGTTATACCCTCACTCAGCCCATTGAGGAGCAAATTAAGGGGGCAGTTACCACCCGTAACCCCCTATAAATATCAGAAACTCAACTGAGTTTGAGGCTTTTGGCTCTGGGCTCTTGGATTCTTCTTTTTGGGCAGCAAAGAGGAGATCTTTGGCTTGGCAGCAAGGGGGAAATCGACGTTCATCCTCAGCAACGATCGACCACAGGAGCATTCCCTTGGCTTATAACCGAGTTTCGGTTCAAATCAACTCTTTTTCAAGAGTTCAAACTCGTTCAGAGTTATCAACTCGATCAGAGTTCAAAACTTGCTCTGCAAGTTCTTCTAAAACTCGTCAGAGTTATCAACTCGATCAGAGTTCAAAACTTGCTCTGCAAGTTCTTCTAAAACTCGTTCAGAGTTATCAACTCGTCAAGAGTTATTTCAAAACTTGCCACGCAAGTTCTCCACAGCGTCAAATCGTGAGGAGAAGACATCGTTCCAGGCGTCAAATCGTGAGGAGAAGACTACGTTCCAGTGAATCAAGACGTGCGGATCGTCAACGAGAAGCAAAATCGACGCGAGCATTCGAGTGAGGCATCTCATCGCCACTGTGAAGGACCCAGAATTAAACAAAGGGGAGAATCAAATCCATTCTCCTCTCTTTTGTAATCGGAATCCAAATTGTAATTGATTTTGAGAGGAATACAAGTCAAATTTTTCTTTCATTGTCTTTTTACTGCAAATTTCCAACAAACAAAAGATGGCGACTCCGCTGGGGACTAGCTTCTCTGACGAAGAAGTGGTGGTGTAATCCGACGTTCATCTCACTGGAACGACCGTTGAAACTCTGATTATCGAGTTTGATCAAGCCAAGTACGAGGAGGCCCTCTCCTTCGGATCCCTTAGCCCCAAGGCTATGCGCAAGATCCACAAAGTTTCTGAGGAGAATAAAGCTCCAGTTGTAGCTAACTCATTTAAAGACTATCTCCCATGGGGGTTGCACTGTTCATACAGTCCCCTCTCTAAAAGAGAAGACTCGATTTCGGCACAACGCCAAAAAAGCCGATCCTCCAATCAACTCGAACTCCGCGTTTGTGATGTTGGCCTTCTTGTTTTGACGATGTTTAACAAACAATTTATTACTAATGTTGTTTGTCTAGTGTTTGTGCATTCCTATGTTTTATAGACAAACAACGTAGTTGGAGGTTGGATGGATTGCGCTTCAACGATGATATCCAAAGGAGGTTGGCGGAATGTCGGGTTGAAGCAACATACAATTCAAGTTAAAGATCAAGTTCAAGCTTCATCCGCAACGTGTACCAAGTTGAGCTACAATGAAGATCAAGATCATTGCTTGGGTAACTTTAGTTATAGGTTTATATTATGTGTGTTTAATACGTTAAGCTCAATTATCTATACACACACATTTATTGGTTTCTTCGTATATATATATAGTTATATATATATACACAAGTTTTGGTTTCTATGCATATATATAGTTATATATATACATACATATGTTTTGAGTTTTTATGGTTATATATATGAAATTCTATATTTCATATTTTCTATTATGTTTTTGAAAACATTGCATAGAATATGAAATTTTGTGAAAATATTGTATTCTTAGTTTGTAGACTTCAATATCAGTTTATACATGTTTTACTAAGTCTACAAAAACATTTCACAAAGTTTCAAAAGTTGGTTTATGTCAAAACATCAAAATTCAAGTATCTCATATTTTCATGTTTTGGACTAGTTTGTAAAATCATGATATTTTTCATTTGGGAAGTCCTTTTTGATAACCAGTCATTGTAGCATGTTTATTATCATGTCTACAATCATTCCCCAAAGTTTTACATTTTTTGGAATTTATTTGATATTTTTAAACAGTGTTTTAAAATCAGCTTTGTTTTCTGAAATGTCTGTTTTCGGTCGACCGGTACGGTCGACCGGTCAATTGACCATTCGTCAGTATTTTTCCAGAGAGTCATCGGTCGACCGGTCCGGTCGACCGAGAGCTCAAATCGGTCGACCGACAGAATTTCCGGTCGACCGACAAAAGAGCCGTTGGCTCCTAACGGCTATTTCTGAGCTGATCTGTCTGGGGATTTTCTGTCTTTCTCTTGGGGGTTTTTGGCTGAGTTTTGAGAGGGTATATATACCCCATTGCTGATGTCTTTTCAAAGTAGTTAAGAGAGTTTTTTAATCAAGTTTAATAAAGTTTTTAACAAGGGTTTTAGTTTGGTTTAAGTGTGTTTAAAAAGCTTTTAAGCAAATTGAGAGTTTGTTTTTGTGATTCAATTCTACAAGAGCTTGAGGAGATCATCTATTGGTGTTTGGGCATCCAACTCTTCTCCCTCCACTCTTGATATATTGAGAAGTTTTCTAAACTCTATTTCTAGCTTTTTTATATATTTGATTATCATTGTTATTAAGCTAGAACTACATTGAGTTTAGTTTTGATTTATATCTCTTTGTTCACACACAACCTTTTGAGCTTATTGTATTTACATTCATAGTATAATTTGGGGTTGTGGGTTTGTGACTAAGAGTTGTGCTTAATTGAGTTCTCACCTTGTTTAGAGAACAATCAATTGATTTATATTGTGCTTAATTGTGAGGATTCACTTGTAATACACTTGTACACCGAGAGAAGTGTGTGGTGAGAGACGGGGTCGAATCCAAGAGGAGTGGCGTCGGTTGACGTGCCTAGAGAGAGGTTGTAACCGAGCACTTGAGGGAGACACGGCTAGGTCCAACACTTAGTGGGTGTAGAGTGTGATTGCAAGAGTGTGAGTTGTAGAGTTTTCGGTTAGCTAGAAAACCGAGTGTGTAGAAGAAGTTCCGGCTTCCAAACCGGATTGTGTTAGTGGATTTCTCCCCGGGAGTGGGGAGCGGAGACGTAGGACGGAAGGTCCGAACTCCGTGATCATATCTTGTGTTTGAGTGTGCTTTGGCGTTTATTTATACTTGTGTTTATATTTCTTATCGCCATTGTCATTAGCTCATTATTTATATGATCCACTATCTAGTTCACATTGTTTACCCCTTGTGTTAGTTTATATATCCTTGCATATATATATATTTCATCATATAGGATAT